TCGGGACTCTGGTGGCTACGAGCTAGTTCGTGTGCTCGTCTCGCCGCCGGCGGGGGCTGGGCTGGGCCCGGGCGGACGGAGGGGCGGCTTCCCCCACTTTGCAGCCCTGGAGCAGGTTTCCTTCACCTGCCTGCTCCACCCCGGGGACGTTGGTTTTTGGGTTGCTGCGAGCCTGGAAACCTCCGTGCGGGTTGCTGCCCGAGGGACCCGCAGCGCGGCTCTGGGGCTGCTGGTTGCACGTGTCCCTTGGGAGCCTGAGCTGGAGAAGAGGGCACTACAGCATAGAGCCGCAGGGCAATAGGTTATTCCGGTGGTTCTCAACCTTTTTTGGGCCAGGACCCACTTGCAAACACCAGCGGCCAGTCCGTACCCAGTGCCCCGCAATCCTGGCCTGCTCGCCCTGCCCTCCCGGGTGTTTTGGCCGGGGGGTGGTGCCTAAGAAGCCCCTCACAGAGTCAAGGGAAAAGCTATGGCTTCTCAGTTTTTCTCGTTTAAAATCAGGCCAAAAAAAGGCAACAAAAGTTTCCCACATTTTTCTCCTTCAAAGGAGAATCCATGTTTAAAGTTTGTGGATCCTTTTTTACTTTATTCATGAGGCTTTCCTATATTCTTGCAACCCACTTTTGGATTGTGACCCACAGAGTGAGAAACACTGATCTAGGCACTAACGGTTGCATCTCATGAAAAATTAAGGAAGTGATACTCTCACTGTACTCCGCACTGGTGAGACCGCAGTTGGAGGACTGCGTCTGTTGCACAAATGGCTAGTTTCATGCTCCTGGAGGCTTGCCCAATTTTACCTGAAGGAGAGAGTCACGCAGGATGGGTCCATCTCGGGTTTATTGTTTGCGCAAGCAGGTCGACAAAGGGGCTGAGTCGCCCAAAGCAGAGTCGACCACGAGTCTGTCTGAGGTTCCACTTTTATAGTTTACATAAACAGAGGGTTTCAGCGTGTCGTGCAATTATTGGCGATATTATAATTTCCTTATTGTTACGTCTTGTCTTGCAGGTTGAACTTAACTTGCTATTGGTTAGCATCTCTTATCAGGTTTAGTGCAAGCGTAGTTCAAAAGCAGAACTGCGACAAAAAGTCCTGTCGCATGCGCATAAGAAAAGGGGAACTGCAGCACAGTTAGTGTCTTTTAGTAATCTTGTATCTTGGTGTAACTTCAGAGCATTAGGTAAGTATGGTTGTAAAATGCAGAGCAAGCAAGAAGGAAAAAAGAAACAACCCACAACTCAGTTGTTAGGCCTCATGCAGCTTGCACAAGGGATCATGAGGTACTCACACAGTTGTTGCTCAAGTGTTATTATAAAATCATGGAGCCTAGATTATAACGTATTTTTACCACACGTCCAGTTTTGGGCGCCGATCTTCAACAAGGACGTGGAAGAACTTGAGAGGGTCCAGAGAAGAGGCACCCATATGATCAGGGACTTGCAAGACAAGCCATACAAGGAGAGGCTGAGGGACTTTGGCTTCTTCAGCCTACAGAAGGAAGGCTGAGAGGGGACTTGGTAGCAGCACATTGCTTGGTAGCAGGACATTGGGGAGCACATCAAGAACTAGGTGAACAGCTGTTCACCAGGGCACACCTGGGGAAGACCAGGAGCAATGGATACAAACTCCTGGAAGGCGGCTTCAGGCACAATTCCAGGAAAAAACTCTTTCACCGTCAGGATGTCCAGACTGTGGAATAAACTCCCTCCAGTGGTGGTGCAATCACCTACCCTGGAAATATTCAAAAGGAGACTGTACAGTCACCTCGCTGGAGTCACTTGACCCCAGTTGTTTTTTACTGCCTGGTGCAGGGGGACTGGACCTGATTATCTACAAGGTCCCTTCCAGTCCCTAACAATCTATGAAGTCCAAGCCCCTGCCTAAGGCAGGAAAGGTCTTGTGCCCCCTATGGGGATCAGGCCTGCCACTTTAGCCTTATTCAGCTAGTGAAGATGTCCAAGAAGTGCAAGTTTGTGGCTGATGGCATTTTCAAAGTAGAGCTGAGCCAGTTTCTGATTCATGAACTGGCCACAGATGAGGTCAGAGTAAATCCACCCAGGACTGAAATAATCATCCCAGCTACCAGAACTCACAACGTTTTGGGTGAAAAAGGCTGCCATGCCAGTGTGGTTTTGCTTCCCGGCAGGAAGTGTTGAGCTCTATGCTGAGGTGGCCAGAAGAGATCTGTGTGCTGTTGCCCAAGCAGTTGCTGCGTTACAAACTTCTGGGAGGCTTAGCAGTGCGCGGAGCCTGCTGTGCTGTCCGCTTCATCATGGAGAGTAGTGCCGAGAGTTGCGAGGTGGTTGTCTGGCAAACTCAGGGGCCAGTGAGCCAAGTTTGTGAAGACCCTGTAAACCACTGTCAATACAACCATGCACCACATCCTTGTCAGGCAGGGTGCATTGGGTATTAAGATCATGCTGCCTTGGGACCCAAATTGGAAGATTGGCCCCAAAAAGCCCCTGCCAGACCACGCTAGCATTGTGAAATGCAAAGTAGAGATCTCGCCCACCACATCCATCTCAGAGCAGAAAGGTGGAAAACCAAATCAGACAGGCATACCTCAGCTAGTTCCCACAGCCTAGCAGGGTTGTCAGCACCTCTTAGACGCAGACTCCAGCATTTATGTGGTGAATTGTTTGGGTGCCTGCATTCCTGTTCACCTTGGATAATAGGATAATACTGGTATAACCATCTCAGTTTAACATCATGCCTTAACTTATATTGGTAGAGTAAAAGTGATGGTGTAGCTGTGATGGTCCAGAAATTACACAAGAGGCAAGGATTTCTTAGGGTGATAGCTTTTATTGGACCAACATAGCTGGGATAAAGTTAGATAAGCTTACATTCAAAAGACTTGATAGAGACTTGGAGTGTCTTGCATGTGAAAGTGTGTCTAACTAACTCAACTACATAATTGGTCCAATAAAAGATACTGCCCTAAGATATCCTTGCCTTTAGCTTATGTCGGCTTGACTTGTAAAATTTGCCCTGGTATACAAACCTTGCAAAAATACTTTTGTGCTAACTTTTAAGCATGTGCATGGCAAGAATCATAGCCTTATAGAAATAGGTACATTTCCCTATAGACACACAGAATTGCCAGAAACAATGGGATTTTTTAACCTATTTAAAAATTATGCTTCTGTAATACAAATAGCAATTTGCATAAATATTAGAAACTTTGCCAACTAGATACATTTTAACAACTTTTATCGAACTTCTGCTTAACCTTCTCAATATTGATGTTGTGGGTATTTGCTAAGGGAAATTCTAACTGAAGAGAAAAATGGTAGCAGAGTTCCAGCATCTTATTCATGGGGTTTGCTGGTGATAGTTTTCTCCTGGGGAAAGGGTCAGAGCTTTTGGGACAGGTGACCCAGTTGCGTAACATCAGTTTTAGAACCAGGAAAATTGAACTGGTCAAAAAAAAGGGCAATTGGAAATAAGAGGGCTGTAAAAAGGAAAAAATATATAGATGGAGGAAGGTACCAGGGAGGACATAAATTTAAGATTGGTGATAGAACAGTGACATAATTTAAAATCCAATCATTGACCTACATGGGATTTTTTTTTTCTTTCCCTCTCTCTGCAATGAGAGACAAGTGTTTATTGTAAAAGTCAAATTCATTTAGTATGTTTCATCCAAACAGAAGCTTGCTTTTAGAAAATAATGGTTAGACAAATGTGACTGTCATGGTAAATAAAACAGAGAAATTATGACAAATGTGTTGGATTTACAGAGTGTAAAAATATAATTGTTCAGCTGTGAAGCGCTTGATTTGAAATTTTATACAATACACTTACTGTGTTTTTTAATATTATACATGACAAGTTCAAAAGTATGCAAGGCATTTCCTACAAAATATGATTCTAGTGCAACTTTCTGGTAATATAAAAATAAAAGCCTTCAAGACAAGGGAACTATATATATGTAGGATCAGTTTAGCAACACAAGCCCCAATCCTGAAAACGTTTGAATCATCATTTTAATGTTTATAAAAGACGTTTACGAAACAACTGATGCAAATATTTTGAAGCAGTACTTAAACTATTCGTTTCATATTTTACTGCAAAAGATCAGATGCCACATCGTTTCATATCTTGAACCTCCTTTAACTGTAACCATCAAAATATACAATAATGTAATTTGAGGTAAATTTTGTTCAGTTTACTCACATAAGTAAACCTACAGAATCTAGGATAACAATAGGTATGATCCAGCTTCAACCTTATGTGGTATTCTTTATGACAGAGCATTAAAGAAGTTTAAATATTGCCATTTTAACAATTAGCCACCAAAAAAAATTATACTTGATCCTTCCTTTTTGTTTTTATCCACAACTGCTGATAGCAGTAAGTTAAAGATATCCTTCCAATTTTTAAATATCTCCAGATATATCAATTAGTTCCACTAATTCAGCCACATTTTTGGATTTCTTGAAAACTCCCCAAACCTTTTAAGCTCTGGTTTTCACATGGGTACATCCAGTTAATGTTGGCACTCATCATTGGACCAATCCACTAAATTTATAGAAAAACTAGCCAATTGCCTGTCAAAGAATGAC